GCGAATCCAAATTCTTTCATGATTCATCAGTTTTAATCCAGAAGGAAATCGTAACCAAAAGTGAAGTCCATGGAAGAGGATGCAAATGAATATTCAGATGAGATCACTCACCCAAAGCATCCTCTCCGGATCCTCATGAACGATTCAGTAGCCGATGTAAGCTGTCTCTCATGTGGAAAGCTATACAGCAGGAGGAGACGTGTTATGGTTGCAACACTTGTGGTGATTTCAGAGAGCATATTGATTGTGCATTGAAATCACAACCACTTGTTCTTAACCAATCCAAGATCCATGAGCACCCTCACGCTCCTCGAAAACGAGTCAAAATCCGATGTGGTATGTCGATTATGTGAAGAGCTAATAGGAGAGAATTTTCATGATTGCATCAAATGTGACGATTTCAGGATCCAATATCAGTTGTAAATCTTGGAACACACCACTACCACCACCACTTGTTCTTGAGCAAGTCAAGATCCATGAGCATACCCTCACGCTCCTCCCGAGAGAGGTCTCTTTCACCTGCAACGCCTGTGGGATAAAAGGCAAAGTGCATCGACCTTCCCCGCCCGTCATCCCAACCGCCTCTCTCACGCATTCTCTGTTGCCTCCAAGAAGAAGCTGTGCTGTGGAGTTTGTGGCAAGGGCATCGATGGGGCGTACCCATCTCAGGTATGATGCGCAACAATGGGTAATGGAGCTGGAAGGCGTGCCAGAAGATGAGGAAAGTCTGCCTGTTCCTCTGTTCATTGTTATCAGCGACAACATAATAATACATTTCAGCCACGAGCATTATTTGAGACTCAACAAGTTGTTGGAAAATCAACAACAAATGTACTGGTGCGAGTAAGACATTGAAATATATTACTAGCATAAACTTGAAAGGTGTACACATTGTAGTTCCTTGTGTACCTTTTTTTTAAGATCTTATGTACTGCCCTGTGAACACTTTCTTAATTGTAGCTGAAGCAGAGCAAGTTGTATCACAGGACAAGAAAACACTCCATGCTCCTTTATTCAACAGTTAACAACAACAAATTTGAGATGCCAAACTGGCAAAGCTTCAATGGGAAAATAAGGAAGCAACACACAATGATAACATTAGACAAAAAAAAAGGGAAAGATAGACAAACTCTCAGTTCTAAATTTCTTGGACTTGTTGTCTTTTTGGCTTGCGCCAGATTCCGATTCCATCAGTGGGGCATAAACTAACTTGAGGGCATTGATACTTCTCCAAGAACTCCAGTTTTGGAAAGTACAGTTCACTCAGCTCGATCCAATCCACTTTTAGTCTTGGAAGAAATTTCAGACGTAGAACCTTGACGTTGCATTCGGCTGGCTTATTAGGTAATGCCTTACTAAATCCAGTAAGTTCCGTTCCTCCTTTAATGTAGAGTTTTTCCAGATAAAGTAGTTTTCCAGGCTCAAGCCATTCGGGAAGAACTGTATCAGGAAAACATTGCAGGTCCAGTTTCCTCAATGTCTCGGGAAGCTCTAGTTTTCTGGAATCTCTCCGCTTCGCGCCGACAATCCATGTCACCGCTCTTTCTAAGACCGGAAAAGCCTGTTCCTTGTTTCTTCCATCTATGCCCTTATCTTGGTTATTCACACGTCCCCACACCACTTTAAAATTTTCCAGCTTTTTGAAATCCTTTATAGACTTGATCAGTTCAGCTACACCAAAATCCTTTTCGTTTATCGTAACGCTTAGCTTTCTCAGGTTCCTCAATGACTCCAACTCAGCCAGCGTGCAGAAGATACCCCAATAAATATCACTTACCACAAAGCCCTTGAGAACCTCTAAGTTATGCATCCATGCCAACGTCTTGGGCATGCCATCAATCATGTAGCACTCTGACATGTCCAAGTAGGTGAGATGACAGAGTTTATTTATGTTTTGTGGAATTTTCTCCAGGTTATAGCAAGCTCTGAGGTCCAAGACGATTAGTCTATAAAGCTCACAGACAGAATCATCGAGAGTTTCAATTCTTGATATCCCTTGAAAACTTAAAAGTCTGAGTTTGGTCATATGCGTCAAGTGTTGCATGAGCTCAGGATTCCCTACCTCAATGTGGCGGTTTGGGGTTCTCTCCCATCTTCCCAGAGAAAAAACTTTGAGACTCCAATATCTAGTTTTTCCTCGACGACCAAACATCTTCTTCCGTGATGGATGCTTCTCTTGGAACC